AAAGATAGGTGTTTTTGTGCGAGAGGTATAGATCATAGCCCATGATTTTGATTGATCGATTGGGCTTTTAGTATTCTTTTTAAAATATTGAAGTTGTTTTGTTGAAAAAGCTATTTTTTCCAGTTTTGATTAAAAAGCATGATTTTTATTTTTATTTTATTTTATTTTTTTTTAACTTGATATGTTTATCGTATTCTTGCTTTTATAAAGTGTTGTTTGAAGAACTGAAGCCTTAATAAAGGTCATCAGACGGCTGTTAAGACACCAGAGATGCTAAGGCAAGTAACAATACTGTAACGTTCTTTAAAGGTAATGACGTCATACCACCTTAATCATTGTATATACACCTATTTCAGAAATCGTTGTCGCACCAAAAGCCTCCAGCAACAAGCCAAGRCCGCAGAAAACACCGGTACTTTTAGCTGTAATTAGTTTATTCATGGTGCATTTTCATTTATTGACAAATTCACAAATTGCTCCAAGCAAGACTGCTTGAGATGATAATTATAGTGGAGAGCTATAGCCACTTGCATGAACCATGAATAAATCAATTCTAATTAAAAGTACCGAAGTTCTCTGGAGCCTTGGCTTGTTACTTGAGGCTCTTGGTACGACAACGATTTTCGAAATAGGTGTATTTGAACCTCGAGACATGAAATGACGCAGAGATGTCATCTGACTCGTAGCTAATCGAAAATCAAGTGATTGCGTCTGTCGATATTGCTAGCCAATAGGAGTTTATATGAGTTTCGGGAGCAGCACATTATATTTTATTTGTATCTGTCATACTATTAGAGTCAGAATTTCATTCACTTTCGGGTTAATTTAGAATTCGCATCGTTTGGTTTCATATTGTGTGCTTTGCATTTCATTGGCTTCCATCAATACTCTTAGCCAATCCTGTTGTTCCTTGGGACACGTAGCCCCGTAACCACAAAAAGCTTCAAAAATGTTCAATTAAATTCATGTTTAATTATTGAACAAAACATGCGACACGAATGTCCTGCCTTAAGATGCAGTAATTACCCAGGAGGTGACGTTCATTTACAGCGATAAATTAAACTGGAAAGCTATATGTTCTTGGCTAATCGTTAAAACCAAGGTTTTGCGGAAGAAACAAGACGAATTCACTTGTCATTAATGAGTTGTGAGAAAATCAAAGTTTACTGGAAGCTGAACAAACCAATGTTTTTATTCTTTTTCATTACTTATGATTACCGTAGCCTCTAGAAGTAGAAAAACCTTCTTAGTGTTAATTACAGTATTCACTAATCCGCGGGGGGTATGGCTGACGACTAGTTATCACAGTCTTCCATCCAATCAGAATCCAGTTGGCTCAGTAAGGTAATAAGCCAGGTTTTGCACACCATCCTCTGGTTCAGTGCTGACAAGTTTGTGTCATATCAACGCCTCTAGACCTTAATATCGTACGATAGACATTAGAAACAGCGAGTGAACTGTTAAAAAGTGTCTGCGATCATGAACTCCACATCTACACACCCTCTTGAACTCAAGATTCTGTTCTATTCTGCATTCATCATTGCCTTTCCTCTCATTATTGTCGGTAGGTTCTCCTTTGCTCTTTATCGTTTTTTCTATTAGATAGTTAGATCTTTATATATATAT